GTCACAGTGTTTAGCATCATAGCAACCACGAGTTACCTCTGTACAACAAATGGACAGATCAGTGCTGTATTACTTAGAATGTTAAACCAAAAACTATTAAAACCAGGCCTGAGGGTCACAGATTAAAATCACCCACCATTGACTTGGTAGCATTACTTTCTATCCACCAGGCCCACAGAGCTCTCTCTTTGTTGGTGTTGAGGCATATGGTTACTCAAATACTCCCGGGACCCGGGGGCTCCACTCACATTAATCACCATGTTTATGAAATAGTCTGTCGCTGGGGTTGGGCTTGCCAGCCCTACCTTAGCTTGAGAGAAGCCCCTCTTACCTCAGTCTCCTCTGCATCCCTACCTCCTTCTGAAAAACTATCTTTTGAAACCACCAAAAGAAGCTAGACCACTTGATCTTTGAGGCACGTTGCAAAACAAGTTTGTCCAGAAACTAAAGGATGATGTGGGAGCAGCCTTGAATGTGGCTGAAATTCAGATACCCTTCTCCCGCTTTCTACAGCTGGGACGGCCATCACTCAGACCCTGATCGTTTCTCTGCAGAGCAAGTGCAAGAGGGAATGCCCGCTCTGCCCTGCATTGTCCCCTTGTGTCATTCCTCCTCTGGGGGACTTTGCCTCACACCTAAGTCTATGACAACAGTTGTGAATGTCACTAATCACCGACAGAGTACTCAGCGCCCCCACACCAAGCAATGAACAAATGGTGGCGGTTCTGGGAGCACTCTCTTTTAGGCTGCATACCTCAGGGCTTGTTTGGTCTAGTGCTGGCCAGCAGGTTGGTCCACCTCCACTAGAAGGGCCCAATTGCTGGGCAATGATGACTCCTCCTGCTTTCTGGCTGCTGTAGTTTTCATAGAATGACCTCAGTTCTTGAGGGATAAGCCAGGAAGGGGTCCAGAAATACACCTCTTCAGTCTCTGAACTTTTTTCTTTTTTTTTCCTCTCTTTTTTTAATGAATGATTTTTAAATTTTTTTATTGTTATTAATTTTAATAAAAGTTTACAGAGACTTTGGATTTCCATTCATTCATTGTTGCACTTTTCTCCCTGCCTACACCTCCCCACAAGTTCGCTCTTCTCTTTGAAAAGTAAAAGAAAAATTCTTTCATTGTTGTACAATCCCTTCTCCCAAGTCCACTCCACTATGCAGCCTTCGTTCTGGACGCCTGTCATGACAATAATACCTAATCCTATATTCCTTTTAAACAGTTCTCTCCCAACATATATATTTTTATAGCATATTCTTTCCATTTAATTTTTCCCCATTCTTTCATTGTTGCACAATTTCCTCCCTGCCCACCCCTTTCCCAGTTTGTTTTTCTCTTTGGAAAGAAAAAAAAATTATTTTATTGTTATACAATTCCCAATCCCCCTAAGTCCACAGTCCACTTTCCATTTCATTTTTTGGAATCTTGTCATGAAAATAATGCCTAATCCTATACTCTCTTTAAACAGTTCTCTCCGTCATCTGTTTCAATGCAGTATACATTATTTATCCCCTCTTTTCTTAGGTTCCACTCAACCCCGATGTCAATCCCACTTTACAACAGTGGCACTGTGCAGTATTTGTCCTTTTGTGACTGAGATATTTCACTCAGCATAATGTCTTAATGACGAGAATGGCCTTCTCAGATCATGTGAAGCCCCATCTGACTGGCAGTTCCATTGCCTAGGAAAATTCTGTAGAGACAGATGTTGTGGTAGATCTCCCACAAGACAGGAGATAGGTCTGGGCTCCTGTAGCTGAGGGACCAGCTGAGCAAAGTGGCAGTGGACTCAAAGGTCTCCATCCTGATGTGTAATTTGTTGGCCTATCTGGCTCCCCGTACTAAGCTTCCAATATTGTTGTTGTTAATTGCCATCAAGTTGGCATCAACTCATAGCTGACCCTCCAGTCGGTTTTGTTTTTAGAGGCAGTAAATCACATGGGAGGAGATTGCCCGTAGCTTCTCCCAGAGAGCTGCTGGGAGATCAGGACCACATGCCTTCAGGACTGCAGCATCCCTTCTTACCGCGAGGCCACCAGAGCTCCCTTAAGCTTCCATTATGAAATATAAATAAGAATTCTCATCTGGACCTCATCAGTTATTTGGCTGAAGCCAGCCACCCCACCCCTCATGACCACCTAAACTCTGATTTGGGGAGTTTTTCTTTCTGGTCCGCAGAGGGGGAAACAATACAGCTAAGACTCTATGGGACTTTCAAAGTATAAAAGAAATGATAGGTTTGTCCCTGTGGGCAGGTGCTCATGGCAACCCCAGTGCCTCCAACTGTAATTCTAAGCTGCTTTAATAGGGCTAAATTGGCTTCAGATTTATTCCTTACATAACGAAGGGCCGTATAAACTATGCTTTATCTGGTCTAGTCTGCTCAACTCACATCTAGGAAGACAATATTGAGTCTAAGTGCTCTAAGACTCAACAATGGATTTATATTAAAGGCTCATACCACAAAGTACCCAGTTCCACCTGCCCTGCAGGCTTTTTGCTTGAGTCTAGGACTGAGGACATATGGGGCATCTATCCGTCCGTGCTGTCAGCCCTCTCTACCTCCAGCCATGCCTCTTCTTGTTTTAACAGGTCAGCATGATCTTAACCCTGATGGTGCCATATTATGCCATTGACACGGAGTCCCCGCTCATGGAGATGTTTGTAGCACATGGGTTCTATGCTGCCAAATTCATCGTGGCAATTGGGTCAGTGGCAGGACTGACGGTCAGCTTGTTGGGCTCCCTCTTTCCAATGCCGAGGGTCATTTATGCCATGGCTGGTGACGGGCTCCTTTTCAGGTAAGCGCTGTGCTTGGTGGGACTTATTTTGCTCTATTGCATCTAACCAAGGATGCTGTCACCTGTTATTTGATATGAATACCTCTCACCTAGACCATGGAACTTGTTCTATATCCTAGCTAAAAGTCTGAATGCAATGAAATATCCCCTTAGATATCTGAAATTTCTAATATACTGAAATACTTAAATAGCACCTTGGTTTGAACCTATGTCTCTCAATTCAGCACAAACTTGCATACCCCCCGCCCCACTGTCCCTTTCCTACTGTGTGACATTGTGTGAAGATGGCAGATGGCCAATGGATGAACTAGTGGCCCTTGGATGGAAGAAACCCCCCTAGGAATGTCTTAGGCCTCCCCTCACATTGGGTGCCACTTGCCCTTCTTTCTACAGCCCATCTGAAGTTGAAAAGCTCAAAGCAACAATAAAGCACAAGATTGTCTACTAAATTGTATAACACCTTTATTGCAGAATGAGTATAAGGATCCAGGAGGGGTGGGAGAGGCTGGAAGCAGAGGGATGTGGATGTGCAGGAGGAAGAGGGGATTAATCCTTGGATTGGACAATTTGCTGTGGGGGAGAGTGAGGGAAATTGACAGAATTTGTTCAAATTTGTATTAGAATTTTGCAAATAAACTAGTTAAAAAAATTTAAAATAAAAAAAAGAACTGCCAGAAGTTCAGGATGAATTTAAAAGTGGCCATGCACCAGAAATATATTTGCTGAAGTCAGATGCAACTTAGAAGAAAACAAAGAATACAAGAAGAATGTCTATCTGTGTTTTATTGTCTACATAAAGGGTTTTGACTGTGTGGATCACAATAAACTATATTTTACACTGGGGAAAAAAAAAGATTCTCTGAACAGAACCCAACCATAGTAATAACCAGGTTGTTGTCAGATGCCATTCATTCAGGTAAAGAAAATAGTGCAACAATGAATGAATGGAAACCCAAAATCTCTGTAAATGCTCCTTAAAATTAGTAAAATTTAATAAAAAAAAGAATTAAACTACACAATAAATAAAAAAAGAGAGAGAGCTGAGCCTCGTCTGATTCTGCACCATCTTCATGAACACTGGCACCATCGCGTGAACAATTGTGTCTGCTGACTGCTTTGTAGAAAGAAACATCATACAACTCTGCCTTGCACATAAGTAATCTAAGACTCAAGGGAGTTGAAAAAAACTTGCTTCAGATTCCCAGGTGCTTAGTGTCCAGCTACAATCTGTATCTCTGACTGTCCACCTCCAAGATCATTAACTACATCCATATATTCACAAGCCCCTAAAAATGACTCCGATGTCATTTTCACCATATCAGCATATCAACCGTTCCGGTCCCCCTCATTCACCACAACATCACCTCTCCGCCCATGGTAGCTTCAAAGTACATACAACTTCATTTCTTGGTTCCCAGTTCCCACATGTGAGAGACCTGTCCGCAAGGCATCTTTTAAGTGTACAGGCAAGGAGTCAACCATGGAAGGTCTTTACTGGTGCAGCAAGAGAGATGACCCAGAGACTTTATCTCTGAGAGAGAGCCACCTTGCATTTTCTCTGCCTGAGTCATGCCTCCTCACGTGCCCTGATGTAGTTACAAGGTCAGAGCTGCCACATCTGGGGAGCTGGACCCACTCAGAGGCTCGTGGTGGGGGCGTGTGACAGTTGCACACATTCAAAATTGGGGTTTTTTCTGCTGTGAAAGAAAATGAAGATTAAAAAAATGCTGCTTCTCCTAAAAGAGTATAAAGCCTGTGTGGATCACGAAACTAAGTGAGGAATAGAAAAGAAGAGAGAAGAGAAGATGGTCGGGAGGAGAAAGTAAAGAGGAGGGAAATCTACTGGGGATTACTGGACCTGCTGGGAGAAGTTCCCACATCTTAAGCCATCACGTCAGTTTCCTCTTCAGTTGCCAACCAGCTGAACTTGAGCCTGCGTGTATAAGCACAGGTCTTAAAGACTATGCTATTTTACCGGCTAAATCCTTACAGAGAAGAGGAGTGATTCTCAGACTTTAAAAGCTGCCAAAATCAGCAAACTCTGGTGGCCTAGTGTCAAGAAGCTGCACTGCAATCCCCCAGGTGTGTGGTTTGAATTCACCAGATGTTCTACTGGAGAAGTAGGGCCAATCTCCTGTCCCAGTCAGATCCAGTTTGATCATACACATACAAAAATATAAACAAAATTTTAAAAAAATAAAAGTCACCAAAATCCTCTGGAGGTCTTTTGAAGCACCCCATCTCTAGCCCCCATCTCCAGAGATCCTGAAACCTGGGAATCCATAGTTCCAGCAACTTCTCCCCAATGCTGCTTATGTTGTTGTCTCTAGAGTCACGTTTTGGATAGCACGTGTGTAGAAAACTCTGAAGCTTCCTGGCATCATGGCAAAGCCTGGGCTTCAGTGTCGCTCTCTGACATACCTCCTAGATCCAATCAACCCTTCAGCACAGCATATTGAAGTAAAAACTTTTATAGAAAGTAGATTGACTCAAAGCCAAGGAATTCAAGAAGATTGACACAAAACCAAGGAGTTACGGTAAATTCTCTCTGAATTACATGGTTCTCTCTGGAACCAAATCTTGGGAAAAGAGAGCAACTGTATATAATTAAAGCAGTGAGTCGAGAAGTAATTGGAGGAGGAGAATTTAAGCCATGTTGGCATCGAACACCACCCACAGCCACCACTAACAGCCTTCTTTCACTCCCTTCCAGGTTCCTGGCGCACGTCAGCTCCTACACAGAGACCCCCGTGGTGGCCTGCATTGTGTCAGGCTTCCTGGCAGCTCTGCTCTCCCTGCTGGTCAGCCTAAGAGACTTAATAGAGATGATGTCCATCGGCACGCTCCTGGCCTACACCTTGGTCTCCGTCTGTGTCCTGCTCCTTCGATACCAGCCCGAGAGTAACATCGATGGCTTGGTCAAGTTCCTGTCTGAGGAGCATACGAAGAAGAAGGAGGGCATCCTCGCCGACTGTGAGAAGGAGATCTGCTCCCCTGTGAGCGAAGAAGAGTTTTCTGGTCCAGCCACCAACACGTGTGGGGCCAAGAACTTACCCTCCTTGGGTGACAATGAGATGCTCATAGGGAAATCAGACAAGTCCGCCTACAGTGTCAACCACCCCAACTACGGCACAGTGGACATGACCACGGGCATCGAAGCTGATGAATCCGAGAACATTTATCTCATCAAGCTGAAGAAACTGATCGGCCCCCGTTACTACACCCTGAGGATCCGGCTGGGCCTCCCGGGGAAAATGGACCGGCCCACGGCGGCCACGGGCCACACGGTGACCGTCTGCGTGCTCCTCCTCTTCATCCTCATGTTCGTCTTCTGCTCCTTCATCATCTTCGGCTCCGACTACATCTCAGAGCAGAGCTGGTGGGCCGTCCTCCTCGTGGTTCTGATGGTACTGATCATCAGCGCGCTGGTGTTCGTGATCCTGCAGCAGCCGGAGAACCCCAAGAAGCTGCCCTACATGGCGCCTTGCCTCCCGTTTGTGCCTGCCTTCGCCATGCTGGTGAACATCTATCTCATGCTAAAGCTCTCCACCATCACCTGGATCCGGTTCGCCGTCTGGTGCTTTGTGGGTAAGCGACCTCCCTGGGAACCCTGGGGGACCCCTTTCAAGACCTTGGACAGGGCTGATCCCGCTATTACCTCCCACCCAGACGAGGCACAGTCATTCTAAGAGAAATCAGGATTGTTCTAGGAACCATTGCTTTCTATATTGTTGTTGTTGTTGTTGTTGATTGCCTTAGAGTCAAGCATGACTCATGGTGACCCAGTGAACAAAAGGCCTGAAACCCCTTTACAACTACTGATGTTTCTCAAAGTTCATAGAGTTTCCGGAGGCATGTTGTTTAGGAAGTGGATGCCACTCCTGCTTCCAAACAACGGAGGCCATCGTCATTCAGGCGATTGTCTCCTTTCTGCCTGTTAAAGTCTTGGTTGTTGGCTCTGGAAGAATTGTGCTGCTTAATCTGTCACTTGACTGTTATTATAGACGCTTTCCTCTTAGGATAACTAGTAGTAGAAAAGCTCCAGTTGAAGTGAATTCACATAGAACAGGAAACAAAATAGCATAGTCAAAACAAGGGAGGTGAAACACTTGTTGGATTTTGTTTTTGGAAAAATTCAATTCAAAAGAAGCCATACTCTACTTTGTAAAATGTAAAAAGTATGAATAAAGTGTGAGTATGAAAGCATATTTTATTCCAGCAAAATTGCACGTGGCACCGTTACACATGCCTCCATTTATATTTCAGTTGGGACATATTCAAGAGCTTTTCCATTTTTCTTTATGTTCGTTATTCATTCTTTATATTTGAATGTTTTTGTGAAGCCCACATCTTTCATCATCTTTATGGATTTCCTCTGTTTCTTGTGAAGAATTGATTGGGCTCAATCCAATCCCCAATTGTCCAGAGCGTTGGATGCCGATTACAGCTTCTGTTGAAGAAGTCCTGTACGTTTCCCAAGATAACTAACTTTCCGTTGTGACAAATTTATATTGTATTTGTGTTACCTCTCTATCACTTCTGATGGTCACTGAGGTTTTCGATATGGCTGAGGTTGCTGCGAGTGGCATACTTTGGAGGACTGTTTAAAGAAGACTGATTTTCAAATTCCTTACTCACTGTTCTCAGTTAGTGGTAAGGAATGGTGCTCCCAATCCAAAGGTGCTAGGTTCTAATCTGCCAGTCGCTCCCTGTGCGAAAGATGGCCAATCTCCTCCCATGCGATTCACTGCCTCTGAAAAGCCACTCTTGATTGGTTTCTACTCGACGATATAGAGCAAAAATAACAACTCACAACTTGGCCAAACTGCTAACAAATACTTAGCTAACTAGAACCACAGTGCTTTGAGGAAAAGAAAGCAATGTAATAAATGATCTTTGCCATCAGGAGAAGCAAGACAGGTTTACATGCACCAATTAGCCTGTGTGAGGAGCTGTAGATACTCTTAATATTTTTAATAGCAGATCCACTCTTTGAGGGCAAGGATTTGGGTGTTCAACCACATGTCATCAGTGTCTATGACATATTATCTCTCTTACTCTCGCATTGCCATTGGATCAAACCAACTTATAACTGACCCTTGAGTGGGTTTTTAGAGGCTATAAATTACATGGGAGAAGACTGCCCACTCTCCTGTGGAGCAGCTGATGGATTTGAACAAATTACCTATGGGTTAGAATTAGTCTAGTCAAATAGTTGTCAAATAATAGTGATAAATAATAATGCAACAAATTATAACAACTAGAACTATTTTCGGTAAATAGTTGTCGAATGAATGAAGATATAGACACAAATGAGCATTGATTCATAGACTATGAAACCTGGAAGAGACCATCAATGTCATCTGATACAACGTTAGCCACAGTGTGGTGTCCATCCCACTGTTGAGACATGGGCTGTTTTTAAAGAGTATATTAAGGCACTTTCTTTTGTTTTGTGCATTGTTTTTAGACATCATTAAGTCAATTTCAACTCATAACATCCCTTTGTTCAACGGAAGGAAACACGGCCTCATGCTGCACCGTTCATTGCTGTATTTCAGCCCATTGTAACAGCCACTGAGCAAATCCATCTTTTTTTATTATTTACTTTTTTTATTAATTTTAATGAATGTTTACAGAGACTTTGTATTCCCATTCATTCACTGTTGCACCTATCTCCCTGCCCAACCTCCCTCCCACCCTAGTTCACTTTTCTCTTTGAAAAGTAAAAGAAAAATCCTATCATTGTTATACAATCCCTCTCCCCAAGTCCACCCCACTGTGCAGCCTTCATTCTGGACTCCTGTCATGACAATAATACCCAATCACATATCCCTTTTAAACAGTTCTCTTCCTCATCTGTTTCAATGCAGTATGCATTATTTATTCCCTCTTTCTCAGTCTCCCCCCAACCCTTATGTCAGTCCCGTTTTACAACAGTGGCACGATTCAATATTTGTCCTTTTTGTGACTGAGATATTTCATTCAGCATAATATCCTCCAGGGTCACCCATTTTGTATAATATTTCATGGGTTCCTTGTTTTTCAGTGCTGCATAATATTTCATTGTTTGAATATACCAGAGCTTCTCAATGCATTCATTTGTTGATGGGCACTTGGGTTGTTTCCAGTTCTTTGCTATTGTGAAGAAAGTCACAGAACAAATGCGTCTGTTGTGGGTATTCCTCTTTTCGCTGGCCCTTACTTTACGAAGCATGCTGTCCTCCTCTGAGGACTGCTCCGTCCTAATAACACAGCCGAGGAGGGAGAAGTGAAGTCTCACCCTTCTCAGCTCGGGCTATGCTTCATCCAAGACAGACTTCTCGGTTTTTTGGCAAGTCCATGTGTCTTCAGTGTTCTTTGCCAACACTGTCATTTAAATGCATCGAGCTTTTGGTCTTCCTTAATCACTGTCCAGCTTTTGCATGTGTGTAAACTATCTGAAAATACTGAGCTTTGTGGGCCAAGTGTACCTCAGTCCTAATAGACTAGGTGACATATTTGCTTTCCAATGCTCTAAAAATTTATATTGCAGCACGTTTTTCCAATGCAAGACATCATTTGATTTCTTTTTCTTTTTTCAATATCCATGAGCACTTTATTACAGATCTGGGAGAAAGCCCGTTTGATTTCTTGATCATTGCTTCATGGGCGTTCATTATGGGTCTGACTTATTAAATCTTCGACAATGTCAGTCTTCCCTCTGTTTATCTTGGTGGTGCTTATTGGTCTGGTTGTGAAGATTTTTATTTTCTTTATGTTAAAGTGTAATCCATATTGAAGGCTGTAGTCTTTGCTCTCACCAAGCAAGGTTGTGTTGACTGCATAGCACAAGTTTTCAATGAGTCTTCCTCCAGTCCTGAGGCTGCGTTCCTTACAAAGCTGAAGAGACATTCAGCTTTTTGCTCACTAGTGCAACTTGCTGTGGACCATATGCCACTAGAGCTACTCACACGTGCTTAGGATGAAACTACACATGATCTTTAAACCTTAAAATGGAGCCAAATTAAAGGGGTAAAATAATACCAGTACAGGTACCATAGAATTCATAGTTGTTGCTGTTGTTACGTGCTGTCGAGTCATGTAACTCGTAGCAACCCTATGTACAACAGCCCTAAACCCTGCTCTATCCTGTGCCAATCGCACTGTCTCTGACACACCTACCCCCATTACCCCAGTCACTGAATCAATCCACCTCATAGAGGGTCTTCCTCTCCTGTGCTGTCCCTCCACCCTCCCAAGCATGACATCCTTCTCCATAGTAATAACTAATATTTATAGCATTTACTGCATGCCAGTCTTTATTCTAAAAGCTTATCTCACACTAACTTATTTATTCCATAAATGAGGAAACAGAAGTTCAGTAGCTTGCCCAAGCACATAGCTAGAGAATAGCAAAGTCTAGATTAGGAACTCAGGTCGTGTGGCTCCAGAGTCCATGATCATAGTCACTGTGCCAGAAACGTGATACACAAATGACTCAAGTTCCAGGGACACTGGCAAGACCTACTGCCCTCCTGCTCTTCACCCTCTACATCTAACAGATAAATGAACTGAAGCCACAAAACATTAGACTCATGTCTAATGTCTAGTGAACTTGAGGGCCACAAGAAGTTAGTTGCAGAACTGTCATTAGAACCAGAATCATTGTACAGCTTGAAGTCCTGAGTCTCCCACCACTCCAATGGGGTGTCTCTGAGCAGATTGTTATATGTGTTCCAAGTGTCTGATGTGAAGTTTGTGGATATTAGCATGTAGCCTCAGCTGGTTTCTGAGTGCACCAGCTGTCACACATTCCCCATGCTCAGAAGGGCCTTAAACTTGGTTTTATGTTCTGTTCTTAGCATCTTGAAATCCTTTGTTTTCAAATAGAAGCTCATGTTTGCATTTTCCTCTGGACACTGCAAATATGTTGGCTCTATCATTTGTGCAATGCCAGAGACATTGTCAAAAGCAAGGAGGTGACGGGGCCCTAACCTTTGTAGTCAAGCACTTCTCAGGTTCAAGGCACGTTTCTGCCGCATCCCTGTCTTTAACCTTGGAAACATTACTTCAATTCCTTGGGACTGCATTTACTCATCTGTAACACCAAAGACCAATCACCCTAGAATACTTTCAACAACATAGAGAGAGCTCTGGGGTCTGGTGAATAGAAAGTTATGCTACCAAATCAAAAGTGGGTAATTTTAACCTGTGGCACTCAGACCTGGTTTTAATTGTTTTTGGTCAAACATTCTTCTAAGTGGTATAGCACTGGTCTGTCCGTTTGCTGTTCAGAGGTCACTCGTGGTTGCTGTGATGCTAAACACTGTGACACCAATGCGTCAAATGTGATAATGGTTGCCCATGGTGGACAATGTTTGGTGTAGCTCCCCAGTTAAAACAAGCTTGGAAGCAGGAGTAGCATCCACTTCTGAAATAGCTTGCCTCCAGAAATTCTATGAACTTGGAGAAAGGACAAAAGTTATAGAAGTTTTCAGGTCTTTTGTCCATAAGGTCACTATGAGTCGTCAGTGACTCAATGGCACTTAACAACAACAACAACAACTACGTGGTGCACTCATGTGTCAGAGTAAAGCCACGCCCCA